GTCTTGGTCACAACAGCAATTTCCTCTCTGTCCCTGAGCTGAGCTGAGCAATTCCTTGTGATATGACTATCAAGTTCTTAAGATCAAGAGGGACTGATTGGTGTTGGTCTGACCAATGGACAAGTGCTCATTTTTAGCACATAGTCCTTCCACACCCACCCAAGCCAAGCCATGTCTTGCCCCAACTGCTAAGGATTTGAGACCCCTCCTTAGCTGCCCAAAGACTTTTATGCATGCTATTAAGTGGCATTTTTTCTAGCCTATTATTATATTTAAGATGGCAGGTGAGAGAACAGTGGTGCCAGGATCATAAACTGAATTAAATGTTCATCAGACTTTCAAAAATACTTACTCATTTCCTGGTGGAAATACTTCTTTGTTTCTCTCAACATAGAGATCCTCCAAATTCTGGCAGTGTTGTACACAATAGGCCAGGATCATCAATTCCATAAAGGATTTGGAATCATAATGTACTGTAGTCACATTATACAATGCATTTTTTACAAAATTGTCATCTTGTGTCTCATATAAATAACTAAATATTTCTTCTTCCAGAATCCCTTCATTATTGTAATTTTTCACCCAGGCTATTAAGAACTCCTTATTCTTAGGAGGAATTTTCCATCCAAATTTTTCTTTTAACCGTGACATTCTTTTTTCTTCATTTAAAAAACCAAAGAGGAAGCGAACTGTCATTGTTAAATCATGCCTTTCATGTAGAGCCTGTTCTAATAGTGTCTGCGAATTTTTACTGAGATTTTCAGAAGGCTGCCTCTCTCCTTCTTCTAGAATATAAAATAAAGCAGCAAAAAACTCCTGGAAGCTTAAGTGAATGAAGCTGTAAGTCTGAATACAATCAACGTCCCTTTTGAAGATGCTCTGATTCAGAAAGAGGGGGAGGGAGTCTTCCTGATCTAAATTGTGCTTCTTGACATCTTCTTCCATAAAGAGTATTTTCTGTTTCCAGATTCCTTCTGCAGCCAAAGAGCACAAGCCTTTCACATTTATTCGGACATCCTGCTTGGATTCTTTATGGTGAAACTTTAATAAACTGGAGAGATACAGCATATAGACTGCAGTGAGGGTGTATGGTGTCTTCTGGAGATCCTTGCCTCTCTCCATCTCTTGTTTCATCACGGTGCAGACAATCCAACACACAAGGGGAATTACACACAGGGTAAAAAGGGTATCATTTTGTTTTACAAGTCCAAAAGCTAGCTTTGCTTGTTTTTCATCCTGAAAGAATCTGTGGAAGAAGTCCACCCTGTCCTCCACTGAAAATCCCAAAATCTCAGCATGACGCGAGCACTCCAAGCAACGACTGAGAGGCTCTAAAGCTGTGGGTCTTGTTGTGATTAGG